TTGGCCGACTCCACCTTGGTCAACACCCACATGGCCGACTCCACCTTGGTCAACAACAAGATGGCCACCTCCATCTGGACCGACTTCGACACCAAAAACTTCAACACCCACTTGGCCGACTCCACCTTGGTCAACAACAAGATGGCCACCTCCATCTGGACCGACTTCGACACCAAAAACTTCAACACCCACTTGGCCGACTCCACCTTGGTCAACACCCACATGGCCGACTCCACCTTGGTCAACAACAAGATGGCCACCTCCATCTGGACCGACTTTGACACCAAAAACTTCAACAGTAACGTGGCCGACTCCACCTTGGTCAACAACAAGATGGCCACCTCCATCTGGATCGACTTCGACACCAAAAACTTCAACAGCAACGTGGCCGACTCCACCTTGGTCAACACCCACATGGCCGACTCCACCTTGGTCAACAACAAGATGGCCACCTCCATCTGGATCGACTTCGACACCAAAAACTTCAACAGCAACGTGGCCGACTCCACCTTGGTCAACACCCACATGGCCGACTCCACCTTGGTCAACAACTAGAAGGCCTCCTCCATCTGGGCCGACTTCGACACCAAAAACTTCAACAACATGGTCAACGCCCACTATGCCACCTCCATCTTGGTCAACAACATTTACTCCGCCGACTTGGTCGACTCCAACAGTGCAAACAACTTCACCACAAACTTCGCCTACAACTTCGCCAATTACAACACCCGAGGGGCCAACAACGCAACCACCGGGATGTATAACAACACCACCACCACCGGTGTGCATAACAACGCCACCAACGACGCAGTGTCATACACCACCGCCGGTGTGTGTAACCACGCCATCAACTACGCAGTGTATAACACCACCGCCGGTGTGTATAACAACGCAACCACCGGGATGTATAATAAGACCACCACCGCCGTGTGTAACAACGCCACCATCAGCGGAGCCTGGTATAACTATTAATATACCCAATATCGGAAAGGAAGAGCTACTAACCATGTTGGAAGCGTTGCGTGAGATCATAAAAAATAGGCCATCCAACTTAACCAGAAATCTGGAAGACAAAGAGCTTGAGACCCAGCTCGATGCTATCGTCCCTAAGGCATTGAACGCTGGACATCAAAGGTCCAGAGTCGACCCTGACCTCTTGGCCAAGACACTCAACGCCAAGTGCGGCATATTTGGGTGTACAGCTAAGTGTCCCAATCAAAGGACTTGCAATCCTACAAAATGCATGATCCCTGGCTGGTAACGTCAATAAATGCAGCAAGAATCGTCCAAGAGTGATTGGTCTGGTTCTTGTTTGTCTTTAATTTCATTGTTTCTCTTTGTCACCTCATTCGAGTCTGAGTACAACTTGATCAGCTGTATCGCTGATACATTCACACCCACACCAAAAAGCAGATAAAGTCAGAGAAAAAATAGACCAGTTGATCAAATGAGTGTGCCGTTAGACGTGTTGCTCTTCTGTTTCCCTCTCCCCTCAGGGGATAAGCCAGCGCTGGGTTAATAGTGTTCTAAAAACCAGGTGTTCAAAAAGACAAGCGACACTTTTTCAAGGTGTTTACTTCACTCCTGTCAACCCAACTTACTGATGATGTCAGGCCAGTTTCTCGCCAGCGTGGGCAGGGAATCTCTTTCATTTAGCCCTCAACAGCTCAGATTCTAATACAAATGCCTTTTATTTTGCACACCACAAAACCAATAGTTATTAGTTTTTCCATTGCTTATCCAATTCCAATTGTCATGCTGCTCTCCCTATATAACATTCTAGTGTTGTGTGACAGACTTTAAGTCTCCCGAGGCACATTGCCACCACACCGACGATCACAATGAGGCTGTCGTTGCTGCTTATCGGTAAGTGGCTGATAACTATCGTTGATATGTGGATATTAAAATCCTAGTAGCTTTACTCTGCCTTCAGCTACCCATAAATACATTTGCAATCATTTCGAAAGTTAACGAAATGTTTTCGAATTTATTAAATAAGACCGGAACAAACCTAAAGAAGAGCAGCTCCGCGCTGTACAACATTGGCACACTTGTTGAGATTTATGCAGACAGTAAGCTGATGGAGCCAAGCAACTTTAATTTAAGCAATGCGGGCTAAACCAATTAGCTCTTTTCAACAATTAAGTAAATAAATCTTTATAATTTAGGACACGTCAGACAGCAAGTTGCTTTCGGGCTACAATGGTTAAAAGTGGGAGATGGATTCAGACAAATTCGAAGAAGTGAAAAGCTAGCCTAAATTTATCAACACAATTTTTTAGCAATTTGACCTTGAAATTTGTGAAAAATGCTTTGCATAATCAGTAGATAAGCTCTTTAGTTACAAAATAATACGTTTCGTTATAGAACAATCCATGCCGAATCGCGCACACAATATAAATCGGAAATTCTCTCCGACTACATTCAGTTTAATGAAAATATAGTAAGCATGAAGCTGTACGTGAGGATACTTTATGGTATGATATGAAACGGTGATCTACTTTGACTTCTGGATTAAAAGTGGTGTCCCTAGGTGTCCTGTTGGCTGCGTATTTTCACAATGCAATCACCACCACCGAGCCCAATGTGCTACAGCTGAGGGGTTTGTTAAAAAGAGTCATGAAAAACAAGCAGGTCAATGCCCAAACAAAGGCTCAGCTGAGAAATGCAGTGCAGATCATTTCACAAGCCGAAAAGAGCCCCCAAATGGTGACACTGAACGAGGTCCTTGTGGAGCTCATGAAGCTCTGTTATCGTACGGTCAGACCAAGTCTCCCAACACTGCCGCCGGGAGCTTATTGCCCACGACCAGCAGGAGCCTTCTGTCAGGGAGGTGTCTACTGTCTTCCAAAAAAAAGATGCCCGAAGCATGGATCCGGAGTACCCGGAAATGGTCATCAGGAAAGACTATACTTAACTCTGCCTCCGGGAGCTTTGTGCCCACCACTAATAGGAGCCTACTGCGCTGGAGGTTTATATTGTCCTCCAGGAAACACTTGTCCGCAGCATGGACCGGGAGGACAGGGAGTTGATGGACCACGTCCCGTAACACTGCTGCCGGGAGCCTACTGCCCAAAACCAGCAGGAGCTTTCTGTGAAAGCGGGGTCTACTGTCTTCCAGGAAATAGATGCCCGCTGCATGGATCTGGAGTACCTGGAGTTAGTCGTCCGACGGATGCACCGGGAGGACAGGGAGTTGATGGACCACGTCCCGTAACACTACCGCCGGGAGCTTATTGCCCGAAACCGGCAGGAGCCTTCTGCCAGAGCGGAGCCTACTGTCTTCCAGGAAACTTATGCCCTTATCCCGAAGTAAAACATCATCCCGCACTCACAAATCCTCCAGCGGGACCTTCTCCATCCAAAGAGCCAACTAAATCCGTGGGACAAAGTCTATTCGTAGGACCTACTTCTTCTTCAGAAACCATTCCTTCTGTAGGACTTACTCCCTTCATAGAACCAACTCCTTCTGTAGGAGCTACTCCTCCCTCCACCTCCAAAGAACCAACTCCTTCCACAGGACCTATTCCCTCCATAGAAACAAATCCTTACATGGGACCAACTCCTTCCGTAGGGCCAAGCCATCCCGGATCATCGAGTGATTCAGACAAAAACTACAACAAAAATGTGAATAACATTCTGATTGAACTTTTAAAATTACATACAGGTAACAGCACGAAACTCCAGAAAAGCCTCCGAAGTCGAAAGAAGAAGGTTATCCGAGTGATCGCAAGCAAACTAGTGCCAATATACCAAAGCGAATGCGTTATAGGACAGATTGCGAGAGCAATTTTAACAGATACATAAATGTCACTTTAAATGAAGGTCCACTATAATTGTTTTACTGTACAGCAGCAGCTGTGGCGAATGCACAGCGAATGAGCTTAAAATTCTGCATCCGGGAGCGAGACATTAAACCGTTACTGCAGCGCTTTAATGTAAAAGCTTCGTGAGCCGAGCCACCCACACTTGACCAAATGCCAGGCAGTACGAATTCAACGTATCGTTGTCGCTGCCGAAACTCTTTGGCGACTCGTCGACCCGCAATTAACGAAGCGTTACCCAAGCCAAGACTCGGCCGCAATGAGTGTCCCAACAACAACAGCAACAACAGATGATCGACCGTCGACAACCTACAGACAGTGTCTGGCCACAAAGAGCATGGCAAAATAATGCTCTGGGCACAACAACAACAACAACAACAAAAACTGAGAGAAAAACTTGAACGCTTGGCTGCATTTTGACTGGCTTGATGTAATTTGGTTTTCAGTCTTTTCCCTCCTCCTCCAACTTTGGCTACCCTTTGCTGCTGGGCCTCGGGCTGGGGCTGCTTGTCTTTTGTCTAAGCAAAATAACACACAGGAGGGGCAACCCATTAATTTGTATCTATGAATGTAAGTGGTTCGTAAGTTGTGTAGAAATTATGTCATCCGTCAGCCAGCGGAGCCCAAACCTAACCACAAGCCTGTTTGAAGTCTACGGAAATCCACACTTAGTCCATTTTCATCCAACGATTTTCACTTGTGGTGTGGAAACCCACATTTAATTCACAAGCAAATTCCAATCAATTTACAAGTAAAAATAGGAGATATTACTGGGAATTACAATCAAAAAGTGAGGCTGAGTTATGAAGGTTGCACATAAAAACTCTCTTTTATGTTCGCCCTTTGCTTTGGAAATCAATCGATAACTAACAACGAAGATATCTTGTCAGCGTCTCGTTTTTTTCGGTTCAATTTGCATGCGACTCGTTCTTCGTATTGCGTGTATTAAGTGCGTGTCAATAAATTACATCAGTGTCAAGTTTGCTTTGCTAATTGCTGCGAACCTAATCAGGGATTTGCCTAATCCACATCTCTATTTACTCTTATTGAAATTGAATTAACTGCTGCACTCACCTGAATTTGGCACGATAACAGTAACTTGATTATTTGAGCCAACATCCACTGTTGCCATACGGCTCGTATCCACACTCGCTGGCTTGAAGTCATCTGCAATGGCGTAGAGTACAGAGGGGAAGAAGTAGTGTGAGAAGCGATTCGACTTTAATGCGTCCAATCTTACATTTGATTGTGTGAAATGCGGTGGAGGTGTTCTTCGGATTGAAGGTGGAGCCGAGTTTAAGCTCGCGCACCTCATCCCCGATGTTGAGGCGTTCGGCCAGCGTGTTCTTTTGTTTGGTCATCATCATCGTGTGGTTGTGCTGTTGCGGAGGCTGATGTGGCTGATAAGGCAGGTTTGTTGAGGTTTCTTGATTATTATTATTGTTGTAATTGGCACTGGTGTGGTTTGACTTTTGATAATTGTTGTTGTTGCTGCTGCTGCTATATTGATATGACTTCTCGCCAACATCTGTGGCTGTCGCTGTGACTGTGGCAGCTGCAACCCCTCCCGCCGCCAGCGCCGACGTCGCAGCAAAGCTACGCTCCTCGGCAGCGCCACCGCGTTGATAATTGTAGACGCCTTGTGTTCCAAAATTTACATCGCCACCGCCACTGTTGGTGTTGTTGTTATTGCTGTTGTGGCTGCTCCCGGATTTGTGATAATTGCCACCGCCGTAATGTTGACTGGCAGCCGCCTTGGCCTTGAGACGCTGCAGTTTAGTACCCGTGGGCTTTGGAATCTTAGCGGCCGTATGTGTCGACGTGTATCTTTTTTTTTTTGGTAACGATGCAAAACTTTTCCACAGAGATCGCGAAAAAAGTGTTGCACGCCAAAAAAAAAAAGAAGGCACGTTCTCCAACAAAACAAAACAAAAATAATAATAAACAAAAATAAGTTAAGAACTTAGAAGAGTTTAAAGGTCCTCTCCTCCTTCCTCAGGGCGGTTTATGGGTTTTTGTGATGGTATTTAACATTGGATTTTCTCGTTGTCGTTGTAGTTTTATTTGGACAGCTCTCTTTTTGATTTGTTATAGCTTAGCATTTAGCATCACGTGATGTGCGTTTATCTCTAAAGAGAAGACAGAAGAAATATTTATTATTATTATTTTCCATATGTTTGCGAAACGCGCAGCACACACACACACACACTCAAAGACACGCCAGATTGCAACGCTTTATAACACTGCATTTGCACCTGCTGCTTTGGTATACATATTGACACACATTTGAGAACTACGTATATACATATGATGTGTACCACCCTCCCACTGTTATTCACACATTTTACCGAAACATATGTACAATATTATTTTTAGCGAGCATAAAGCACTTTCACACACGCTGTGACACACACACACAAACACACAGGCACGTGCCTCTCGACGCAGGGACGGACGGCAGCAAGAACTGGATTTCGGGTTGAATGCGCGTGAAATTATGCCCGTTTCTGCATTTCACATTCCATGTTTAATGTAAATTAGCACCCATATTTGTTGGAAAATACGAACGCGAACGCAAACGCACACTGCCACATGTAATACGTAAGCAAAAAATTAAAAAGTGAGCGGCTGCAAATGGGTCGGTCGTCGAAGAGGGGGCGGGGCGGGGCTGGCTGTGGCAGAGTGGCAACACAAAACAAGTTTGAATAGCCGAAAAACAGCGAAGGTGAAATTTCCGAAAATCGAATTGAAACGTAGACGAAAAACGTAGACCCCGTCGTCTATATGTACGCGCTGCTGCATATGTATGAACGGCCGTGTGTGCGTAATGCTGCGTTTCCCTGCCGAAATGTCCATCACATATTTTCCACTTTAAACTGTATCGCATTTAGGTGATTCCACTAAACTGCTTGTTGCTTTCACAATATTCCTTACAGCGGCAGGGTTCTTTTTTTTATTTAAAAATTTTATTGTTGAAGAATAATAAAAACCAACCGAGGACCAGTGTGACCGCCAGCGTGACTGTGGAATTATCGATAAATACCGCTAAACCCTCAAAAATATACCAAAATATACATTCTCGTTTAAAAACACACCGTAAATAGACAGTAATCTCAAATCATTTTCCTTTATTTTGATGTTCTGTTTAATATTACCAGCTAGTTAGAACTCTCAGAACTAAAACTGTAATTTTATCTGTTTGGTGAATCAATTTTCTACAAGCTGGCTTATTTAAGAATCGCCCATGCTGTAGATTGTTTACAAACCAAGGTTTACAAACACAGGTCAGTAGAAAAAGATGAGCACCCAAACACTTGTTGCTTGTCTGGTATATACGAGCACTACCATACGTTCTCCGTGCTGGCGCCCTCTGTTGATTTTTCAATCAACTAATACACCAAATAAGCACGGAATCGGTCGCTTACAGCACTGGAAACTACCGGAATTTCGTAAGATTGTAAATGTACAATTCCAATCAGAATGAATTAATGAAAATCATTAATATTGCAAGCAATCATTCAGTTCTTCGTTTGAAAGTTATCTTCGAATTGCGATAAATTCGAGGTATGGCAAACATTTAATGTCTGCACTTAAGGTAAGTTTCCAACTGGCAGTTCAACCGACAAACCACTAGCAGCCAGCATTAATTCAAATCGCATCAGCGATTATCGAAAACAAAGCAAAACAAAACAAACAACGAGCCGCCCTCAGGATTAACACCAGATCGGTTCCAGTGCATAAAAACAACAAAACAAACAACAAGCAACAGGAGCATTGCCAACACACACACTAACACACACAGAAGCATCATCCCTTGGGAAGATCATCATTAACATTTGCGCAAATCCTCGAGGCGCCGTCGCCGTCGCCGCGGCTACTGTTTGGCTTCGTCTTGAGCCTCGAGTAGGATGCGGCTGTCAGTTTGCTCCGCTGCCCATTATCGGGGCGTTAATTACTTGAGCGTTGTCTCTGCCCTGCCCTGCCATGCCCTGCCTGCCCGGTCCCGTCTGCCCGTCTAGATCTGCACTTTAAGATTCCGCCGATGCCGAAAGTCTGCGCCTCAATGCATTTTGTATTTCCATTTGCAATTTCCAATTTCATTCTTATTCCCATTTCCATTTACATTTCACTTTGTTTCACTTTCCCCCCCTCACGGCATTTCCTTTCCCTATGCATCGCATCGCATCCTTTTTGATTATTTTCATAATCTGTGCCACTTGCGATCTCTGGCATTTGATAAACCAACTGTAACTGATACTTTTTGCTCTCCCTCTCTCTCCCTCCATTCCTTGGGTACTTTAGCATTGTATGAGGCCTGTTCCTCTCTCCCCTTCCCATTCAGCATTGTTCCTTCGCCTGGCAGGTAAATGCGGAATAGATGGAGTAAGGAGCAGGGGCAGGGTGCAGGTGGGTGGTCTTCCCGCCAGGCCAAAGTGCAAGCTGCAGAAACTTTCTAACGGTATTTTGGCGTGACGCAGGCCATTTGTGGGACGACGACTGTAACGACGGCTGTGCCGCTGTGTTGCGTTTCCGTTCCGTTCCGCACACGGTGCTGGTGCCAGTGCTCTAGATTCCCCCCTCGCTGATGTCCTTGCTTTTTGCTGTTTTCTAATCAAACATTTGTGAGCTGCTGCCTGCGCTGGCTGTTGCTCACTTTACAGTTTCCAATTCGCACACACACACACTCGCACACCTTCATCGTTTCATATTCCTATTCCGTTTTGTTGGCTAATTTAAAAACTTTTCTTATCAGTTGATGGAATCTAAAATTGCATTTTTATGGCACTTCCTTCCTTTCTATTTCTCCCGTTCCCTTACTCTCTCTGTCTCTCTCTCATTCTTTGACCCGCCTATCGACACTTTCGTTTCCCAAAAGTTTCTCATTTATGGACTGGAATTCGTTGGGCTTTGCCTGTTGTTCAATGCAAATTTTCTGTGCAAAGTTATTTCTCGTTTGTTGTTACCATTATCATGCGCTGCCCCAGAGGGTACTTTGATTTTGCCATGGGAGTGAAGATTTATCCTCGATATATCCTATATATCATGCAGAGTTATAGGAAGCAGAAATCACATTTTATTGCCCAACAAAATGAAGATCGAATGAACAAATTATTTCACTTTTGTCTTCCCTCCACCTAAGGGACAGACAGCATTTGAATCGACAGCCTAATTAGGATGTCTCTGGATCATGCTGAGGAATTAACAAAGTCAAAACGCAATTGTTACAGGACCGGGGGACAATGTCATGCTGATTAAATTACAAATTTCCCAGGCAATCAAAAGTAAGCAAAGGATCGCTGACAAATGTCGGAAGGGGGATCGGCATCTTGCATCAATTAAAGTTTCCATTGTTTTCCAGAACCACAACTACAACTACTGCTGACCCCTTGACCCCCTTTGGTCTTGTCTGGCCTCGGGGCAAACTGAAATTGGGCCATGTCTTCATCTGCATCTACATCTTCAGCGTCATCTTCCACTCACTGACGAGGGTTCAACAATCAGCAATCCTGTGCGTCCTGCCGACTACCTAACTGTTGCTAACAATGGGTAGGAAGTGGCAGCTGTCCATTGTGCCACGCCCACAGATGGCAAATGAGTGCGCGCGCCCATTTATGCAAATTTAATTAGCAGCAACTGGGCGCAAAAGGAGACCATGATGTATGGGCTTGACGTTGGCCCCCGCCTGCTTGACTCCCCCCCCCCCCCCCCCCCCCCCCCCCCCTGGACAAATGCGCCCGATCAGGCGCTCATAAATCAATTTAAATGGCCATCTCAGCAGGCGAAAGAGTGGAGCTGAGGGAGCGGAGGACCCGGCACGACGGCGAATGCTTGAAATTGTCTGTAATTATAGTGAAAACACTTGGCACACAGCGTACTCCGTACCCCCACTGCATCCCCACTGCATCCGCTGAGTTCTCCTAGGCAAAAGTCGGCAAAAATTGATTTAAACTATTTTTCTGGCAACATCGTGAGCGGAGATCATGTCCGTGTCCACGTTGTGTGGCCATAATTCAAAATTTATGTCTTTTGAAATTATTTTAATGTCTCTAATGGAACCTGCCCCCGCCGGGCAGCCGCCCACACGCCATGTACATAAATAATGAGAGTCTTAATTTCATTGAAGACTTCCCTGAGAGTGCCAAATGGTCGGCTATAGATCGAAAACAATCGCATCTAATTGTGGCTAAAACTCAATCAGTGATCGTATATCAATCGGGGATCGGGGATCGGGGATCAAATCAGATCCCCCCATAATGCCAATTGGTAACACGCTCCCGGACCGCATGCAGTGGACACATTTTGTAGTAAGATCTGGAATGCCAGCGAGCAATCACAACGAATGAGCGCCCCATTTGACCCCACGGGTCTTAGCTCAGCTCAGCTCAGCTCAGCTCATCTCTCTCCCTATGCCATCACAATCTGGGGCGATAAATATCTCGCAGTTGTAGCTACAAGTCTTCGTCTTCGTCTTCGTCTGCTCATCCTCCTCCTCCTCTTACTGCTCCTCCTGCTGCTGCTGTCGCACAGTCAATCGGTCGTCTTTGGCACCATTAAATCGATATCATGTCGAGCATTGGTGTAAGCAGAAATGTCCAAGTACAACATCGATTACAAGATCCCATGCAGAGCGAAGCACGAGGCTCGGGCCTGAGCTGTTGCCTGATTGAGACGATGCCATCGATATGGATACCTTGGCCAGGAGTCTCCATTTCCGATCTGATTAGTGTGTGTATTGGAGACTTTCCCACACCCAGGACAAGCTCTTCAAAGGGGACTCTGGCTCCTGGGGTCAAGCCGAGACTCCTCTTCTCGCCACGACGCCAGAGTGATACGAAAACAAATTGAAAATGGCATCCCGCGCTTGTTGGTCGCTAATTTATTGGCCATTCGACTGGTGTGCCTAGAATTTTAATTGAATATTATCACCTTTGGCAGAGGCTTCATCTTGAACCAAGACTGGAGCGGGACTGGAGACCGCCGTTCCCTGTGTCGGGCGGGGCATTGGTCAAGTGCCGCGAGCGTTGCACACAATTCAATTTTTGTGTGTCTTTCTGGCATTGATTTATTCAACGGTTCCCCATCCGCCGACTCCTGCGTGTGTGGGTTTTATTTGCCGTTGTCTCTCGACACCAATTCTGGTAGCGAGAGGAAATTGGTTATTTATAAGTGTCAGCGATTATTAAATTGGGATAGCAAAAAGCACCATTACGAGGCAGGGGCAGACCGGTGTATATCCGTTCCAATTCAAATGGGATCTCCCCTTGGGGTTATCTACAAATTGGACAATCTCCCACTGCGTTGACACGCCTACTGTCCCGACTGTCCCAGGACAAGTGCAAATTGTTTTCAACTATTTAATTAATTTGAAAATTATTTAAATGTTTGCAGCGAGAAAGAAACCCCGCCTGGGCGGGCTCCACACAGCAACTCTGATGGCCTGGCAGATGGGAGATGGTGGAAGAGAATCAAAATCTAATCTCGGGCCAGCGATCAGAACGAGATCAGCGAATTCCGCACCATCAGCAGGCATTGGGGGGCTGGGCGTGCGATTATTTATTGACACTTGAAACCAAAGGGGAAGATGAGCCAACTCCAACTCCAACTCCAGCACCAAGTGCAAGTCCAGGCTGGGATTGCCGGGCTGGCCAAGGCGTTGCGCCCTGTGACAGCAGATGGTGTCGGATCGGTCGGTCGGTCGCTTGGTTGGTTGGCATTCCAGGCAGGCAGGCAGGCAGGCAGGCACCTTCTCTCTCTCTCTCTGTGCACGCGAGCCCAGAACGTAGAGAGCCCGGATCGGACCGCCCGCCTGGCTCCTCGACACTCTACTCGACTGTTTGATTTATGCTCGCGTAATTGTTGGTTTAAACGTTTTTCGCCAAATGGAGCAGGGAAGGGGAGATGGGGATGTGAATGGGGTTGGGGGCACGGGCTGGCAAGCAACGTTTATGACACCACAACGAAATGTGAGGCATATGCACAGGGTTGTCGAGAAATGGTCGAAATGGTGATGGAATATAATATATCCCGGAGAATAATTGGAAAATATTTATGCATAATTCCTTGGCCATCCTTTGGCTTGCAGACTCTATTCAGGCAGCACAGAATTCTACCACCTGACAACCCTAATCAGTCTCAATCTTGATCATAAATATAACCACATATTTATTCCTACATATTCATCGTTGCCGTGGCCTTAAATTTCAGCTTCAGCTTCTCACGTCACACCCCCGGGACCACCTTGCAGCTGCCGCATTCGCTTATTTTCGTTCGTTTGTCATCATTTTTTCAATAAATTTCAATTTTCAGGTTCCCTGTGCAGTCCGAGACACGAGACCCGTATCGTATCGTATCGTATCGTATCGTATCCGCATCCTTGTGGGCCGGCCGCTCGCCTGTGATATCCGAAGTGTAAAATTGATTTAAATGGCTCGTGAGTGAAGGAGATAATTTTCAGTTGTCAGATGCTTGTAATATTTATGTGTCGGCGATTATTATGGCTCCCTTCCCTGACTGCGACCATTGACCAGGCCACAACATCGTTTAATGTTACCTACGCGTGAAAATTACTTACTTTTTCCAGCACTTGGCTGGCACCCAGGGCGACCGACGCTTAACTCATTTTTAATATGAATAATTGTGGCAAATTACAAGGCAATTGCACAGCCACAGTGCCCTCTCTCTTTACTGGATCCTGTAGCGAGCTGCAGCGGAGGGCAGGGACTGCTGCAAGTTGGTAATTGAATTGGTGGCCAATTATCGGCGGAGCAGCAGCAGCGCGCGTGAGAGAACTTTTAAAATTTCCGGTGGGCTGGGACACCTCTTCGAAATTGGGTATTACGAAACGATTGAGAAAGTTTATCGTTCAGCCTTTTACATGGTACATAATTACCCGCTTGGTGCTGTTTATTAACATAATTTCTTTGCATTTTAGGCTCCAGCATCGACTGGAAATCTGAACACAAATCAGTCGCCACTAATTTATGATTGACCAGGCAAATGAACGCCTAATCCCGAAACACTCAAAGCTAATTACCCACACACGGACCTCAGTTTAGATTTATGGCTGAAAATTAATAATAATTTTAACTAAATTAATAATGGCCAATGAAGGCTGCTTTATGGCCCGTTTTCAGATGATTAACAATGTGCGCACGTTTCCAAATGGCCGAGGGACCATCAAAATACTCTTCTATACAATTTAAATGTTTGTTTACCATTTCTAATCATGTGCGGCAATGCCATGGCTCATAATGCGCTGCGGTACGGCATCGAGTGGATGCTGTGTGCAGGCGCCTGGCGGGGCATTGTGTTTACCCATGGACATGGCATGGAGCCGAGGGCCGCTGCACAGCAGGTGACTGTTGAAGAGTTTAGGCGCGCGTGTGCCAGCCTCGTTATTATCTTCATTCTTAACACCAGCGATAGAGGACAGAGCAGAGCAGAGCAGAGCAGAGGGGCAGCAGGAGGGTATCCGGACATCAGACAGATGACGCGGTTGATGGGACTTTCTCTCTTTCCCCCAAACCGATGGATCCACAGAATTGTGGTGTTGATCGTCTGCCCATGTGTGTGTCTCTGCCTCTGCCTCGTGTTTCTCATTCATGTTCGACAAGATTTTTATCGCACTTTTTTCATTAACATTTTGTGGGCATCGCAGATGCGATACGTTCCCCAACTCCGACTTGTACCTTCCAGCTTTGTTTTATGATCATCTTTATGTGTTTTCTGGTTCTTTTCACATTCCCAACTGTTGTCGTTGTCGCTGTCGCTGGCTTTCCCTGCCCCCGCCTAATTCCACTGAAATATGATCTGCTATTATGTAAATTTTACGATTTTCTAATTTTTTAACACTTATTTTTGGTTGTTTTGTGGCGCCAAAAATGTATACAATGCTGTAAGTGATACGGGAAATTGCCAGCGGGAGGGAGATCTATCTTCAAATATTGTATGGGATAGGATATGTGTGGGCTGTTGACGATCTTGATTAGAAGCCACAGCCTGGCGCCTCATCAGTACATCAAATTTGTGGACTTTTTGAATAAATGTTCCTCCCTTTCCTTCTTGTTTTTGTTACATTAATTTTGGGTGGTCGTACAAGAAATCCATGGCCCGCTTATGGTATCCAAAAAATGCTAAAGAAATTTACTTTTAAGATTGTTTATTTTGTGGAAAATGTTTTTTGTTTATTCAACATAAAAATAGAATCAAGTAACTTCAATAATAATTTAATATTAAAGACTAAAATGTAATCCATTGAATTTTCATTTTTAAATTGCATTCAGCTCAGGTGAAACCGAAGAAGCCGCAACCGTGCAAGCAGCTACGCATCCTGGCATCGGTCCTGGCAAGCAGTGCGCACTCGTAAGTGTAATTACGGCTGTGTGGCAAAACGGAAACCCAAGCCAAGATGCACTGATATGAGATACAAATGCGGCGCAGGCACATAATTAAAATGGGAATGCAGGAGCAGCAGCAGCTAGTGAGCATAATATGTATAATGCCTATGCAGTACATATCCACACGTACATACGTTACATAGATACATAAATACATAACTATGCATGAATAACGTATAGGATGCAATTACAGCTACACTTTTCAATATGGCGACCATTGCGCATGTCGCTGCGATGGCCGACCAATCACAAATTTGTTGCTGCTCCATTGTGGCTGTGTGCGTGCGTATCTGTGCTGCTGTACGTTTTGTGAGTGTGTGCGGGGAACAGGTAACCTGGAAGGGGCGGCGTCTTACAACCTGTTTATCTGCTCTTTCGCTTGCACAATGCAGTGACTCTCAAACTGTTGCTGATCATACAACAGAGAGAGAGAGAGATAGAGAGCACGTGAGAGCAGAGAGCATTGGTTGCGTTGCTAAGCCTACAGTCGCGGCACCAAAAAGTGTGCGGGTTTTTATAAATCAGAAAAGATACTAGCCACAGTCCTGTCAAACGGAACATATCTCTACTGATATCAGCTGTACTTTTTCATAATTATATATAATTTTGGCCAGAATTGCAATGCAGGTATCAACACAAATAATACTTAAAACAAAGCTCTATAGTGCCAAAATATATATAATTTTCAAAATAAATGTAAAAGCATATCATATTGACGTTTTCCTATGCATGTTTGTTCATTTTTCTATAAACCTTCATCAGCTGTTGCTTAGTGCTCCACATAAATGCACCACTATTTCTGGCCTCCAGTGTAGAATACACTCTCTCGGTCGCTGCGGCTCTCTCGATATTAACAATGTTCGCATGAAGTAAGTATATAAGGAGGTCCGGTCGGGTGGTGTTCGGTCACTAAATGTTCAGTGCGTGATCGCTTGTTGATGACGAATTTTTGTCGTTTTGCTTTTAAACCCTATTACCATATATTAAGCATATGACTTTTCTACTACTACTACTAAATAACAAAATTAACGACTCCTAAGTATTAGTAAGTAAATTAAGTATTATTGGAAATCAAATTTAAAATAAATAGCTTATACACCTTTTCTTGTAATGGGCAACTTTAAACCTCATGCCTTCATAGGGTTAATCACCACAAGATAGTTTCGTTTCACTCACACTTACAGCGCAGAACCCTTTCACTCGCACTCACAAGCAGCATAAATACGTGACAAACGGGCCCGACGGGACCACCTTATACAGTTACTTCATGGCTCGATGTTAGCAGTGTGCGTATCACCCCCTCTAGAGCGAACAGTACAGCTATATGACACATCTCGCTCGCACACACCAATGCCAGTGTCGGCGGCACCAACCAGATTTGTTGGCCATTGCATTTGGCCTTTTCCAATTTCTGCCTTCAGTTTTTCTCTTGCGCTGCCACGCTGCGGTTCGTTTTGTTCGCCGTTCGGTTCGCTGCCTCACGTCGCGTCGCTCAACTCGATCCGGATCCGGATCCGGCGGCCTTTCGCTCGACTCGCGCACAAAATATTTAAATATAATTTCTCAATGAATGAAACTAAATGCAACAAATTAGCGCACACGAAAACGACAACAAAATAGAAAGATAAATTAATCTAATCAATCTGCTGGCGGCCATCTTTCAGCTGGCACTGTTTCAGTGTCGCACCTTTTGCCGTGTGTTAGTCGGGCACGGTCCGAGTCTCGGCACAGTTAGAGCAAAGCTCCACGAGAGGAGCGAGCAATCAAAAGTATTCGCAGCACACGTGTTCGCACAGTGCGTAAGAAAGATGTGCGGCCCTGCACAAGTGGCGCCACCTCCAGTGGTGGTGCAAAAGTGTTAAAACTCGTACATAACTGTGTGTGCGAGAGAGTGTGTGAGTGTGATAGTGCCTGGCACATAAGCCGATCCCCCACCCAAAACATCATCTTTTGTTTGGATATATCAAAAATCGAAATCGGAGAGTCCCCAAGTGTAACAAAAACACAAAACAAAACTACGCCAAAACAGCAAACACGGATATATACAACCACATCAAGTAGATTCATAAATAATCAAACTACAGGTGAGCCACCGATTGGATTACTTTAAGAATTCAACTTGCCGACGGCAACACGCAGCTGGCGTGTAAAGACTGTAGAGAGAGACTGTAGGAGGAGCAGGCAGCAGTTTATGCTTCTACCATCCTAGATTATAGCTGATCTTTGGAGTAAGTGGAGTAGATGCTCCGCAGAGCGAATGCAGATCCCACCTTCTGTAAGGCTAGGAATCGCTCATCTTCGAGTGTGTGTGCCAAATGGGAATATGCCTTCACATATTTCCATTCTAATGCATCGATCTATCATGGCAATCGATTCACAACTTGTACGACTAGGCATCCATCTTCTAATTGCGGGCAGTGTGAGAGGGCGAAACCGATGCAATTCCGACATTTGCGGTTTCCAAATTGCCTTCAAGAGAACGCTGCTACTTGAAGGCACTTGAAATATTTTCTAGAATTCATGTTTGGAGATATTTGGCAAATGTAATTGTTTACACGGCCCCTCCTGAGTGGGCGTGTGGGTTGCGCTCACCCCGAAAATTGGATATTCACGGATACACCCACTCCTCGCGGATGATATGTACATGTGTATTTATTAATTAGGGGAAAAGTAGGCACCAAATGAAAGAAAGAACAAACCCATTTCCAGTTGTCATTCATTCATCACTGAGGAACAGCTTCGCACCAGCATCACATCTCTCGAGAGGCTCTTGTGGCCATCGGATACATTTCGTTCCGCGCGTTTATTTATAAAGCAGTTTCGCTTCATCATGCAAATTTATCTTTTGGGACGCAAAATATGAACAAAATTATTAACTAATCGAGAGGGTTACATACACACAAACACACATCTCGTATCGGCTCTATTTGTTGAGGAAAGTTTCGGTTGAGTGGGAAACTGGTCGGTCAGTGGACCAGTTCCGTCCGCCGTCCGTCTGTCCATGCTAAATTGCTGGTCGGTATAAATAGTAAGGAAAATTCTTGATAGGATTGGAAGCGTTTAAATGAATTGGCCAGCGCGTGTGTGTGTTTGTCTTGTCGCTGCCAGGGAGTCGCTAGTCGGTATGATTAATGGGGTGCGGAGATGGAAACAGTTGCTACAATAATGATGTTATGTTACCAGAGCCAGCCAGCCAGCCAGCCAGCCAGTCGAGCCATCAATGGTAGCAGCACAAAGTTGCCAAATTGACAAATTAACGCATTCCTCGAGCCACGAACAGATGCATGATGCTGCATGCAACATGGCAGATACGCAAGCGTAGCGATCTGTCTTTGATCTGCCATTTTACGCACTGCCCTACAGAATTCGCCGTAATTTGGCTACATTTTAGATTTTAAAAATTACATTTGGGTTTCATTCAAAACTTTGGCAAATGTAGCGCAGAAATGTGATTAAGATGAGAGGTGGAACAGCAGCAGCAGCAGCGGAGGAAGGGACTCTGTTTGTCTGTACATCTTTGTATGCAAAACCCATTAAATTGACAAATTTCATTCATTACGCTGCAAGTTCTTTTTTTGATTTGTGAGTGCGTGTGTCTGGCTCACGTGGGGGCAACAATTAAGCAGACTTTACAGTTTATAAATACAGTTGGCGCTGTATCTGGCAGATAACAATTGCTTAGCGAAACCAGCCAGACAGTAGCCATTCTTGGAATGGCGGTGGTGTGCCCCAACAGGTTGGCACCGTCACCCAATAACAGCCTCTCCAGGCGATTACATTAAGTAAACACAGACATTGGGCCCCAGCATGTGGCTGCAAAACAGTCGTCGCCCTCTCTCTGGCTTGCACGATCAATAGAACACAGTCGAAGGCAATCCTGGGCTTCAAGCAGTTCCCTTTCAGAGCTTAAAGTGCGAGCAGGCAGCAGAGATACTTAAAGCCAAAGATGCAACTTCTTTGTTGAACATTTCCATCAAAACTATCTACAAATCATTGCCACAAAAGGAACAATCAAGACAGAAGACAGTAGTTTTTTATTGTAAGTTGACTTTAATCACAAACTAATTAGGCAGCAGCAAGCAGCATCCACAACAATTCAATTTGATTAACAGCCCAATAGAATACTCACAGAAAAAGATACAGATACAGATACAAATGCAGCGAGGTGTCCGCTTTCAGACCCCCACAAATAACACTCAAATTAAAATCTTATAAAAGTCAAACTGAACAGCAGAGCAAACAGCAGAGCAGAGCAGCAGCAGCAGCCCAACAGAAATCCGATAGATACTCTCGCATAGAAAGAAGAAACGTTGGAAATAAATAACGAAATTTGTAAAATAAATTAAATTAATTTTATTCGAAGCAGACAGCGATAAGAAATCTCCCGCATACAAGTTGAGAGCCGAAGACAGTGGAAGAAATGCAGTGGGAAATCCACCTTAGATAGAGCATCTTTTGGGGCTCTGGCTACTGCGGCAGTGTAACGGCATTGAGCTATTAATTTGGGCTGCTATCTTGGAGCTACTATTTAGAGCTGTTGGTGTGTCATCGAGCTGCGTTCCCTGCACAGTGGATACGATCCTATAGGTTGAAAATTTATCGCGTATTTCGTTTCACTTTCGCATGCTGCTTGTTTACTTGCGTCAAACATGAAACAAGAAAGAAAGAACAGAAAAAAACAACAGCAAGAGGAACAACAACAAATAATCGAATAAGAAAGAGAATCCAATTCGTAATGTGGGGGAACGACTGGCGGGACGGGGGGGATCTCACTAGGCCGATGACTCAAGAGCATAGAGCCAACTTGGCGTTGGTATTTTTGTTACAGCAGCCAAAACGAAATCTCTTCTCTATTTTCTTGTTTTTGTATATATAATCTGCCCCGGAATACACACGAGAACTGAAAACAGATCCAAGAATATCTTGCACACAAACAATGTATAGATGTAGATGTAGATGTAGCTCTATATGTAGATGTATATGTGTGTGTGTACACGGGGGATAACTATCTGTGTATCTCTTATAGCTAAACAGAGATCGATTGCATATATCAAAGTTTGCTATAAAATATAGCCAAAAGATATTCTATCTGGGGGATACACTCTCTCTCTTATTTTCTGTCTCTCTCTCTTTCTCTGGTTATGTCCCCTGCTTGTGTGTAAGAAGAGACCAGCGACAGCGACGCCGTCGTTTGGTAATTTTAGAAATATTCTTAGAACTGAATACAGAAATCTGAAATCAGAGAAAAACCGAAACACCACGCGCCCCAAGACCCAAGACCCAAGCCCCCATATGAACCACACACATCTCGCCTCTGCAGCATATTGTGTAAAAAGTTTATTTCTGTAAGAGTTCTCTCTCTCCCTCGTCCACTCTCTTGGCTACGGGTGAGAGCGGGTTGGAGCACGAGTGCCCAAGCAATATTTCCAATAATCGAACATGTTGTATCTATAATTGTACGCGGATTAGTTAATCATATTTGACAACATGGGGTCCAAGCGGTGGGATTCGTTTTGTTTTGATTACTTGTTCAACATTTCACGAAAATCATTCATTTGCATATTCCAATGGCAATTTCAACAGTTTTAATGTGTCTCAATAAGCATTTCGGTTAATTATGCCCATCAAAATATGAGAAATCTTTGCGCTAATTAGCTGTGGATAATTTGTGTTCGGAAAACAATTTGGAATCGCTTGAAATTTGCATAAATAACTGATAAATCCACTAACAATTGCTCATCTCTCAATTCTCTGTCTTTGCAGCGCTCAAATTACCAAAGAAAAAGTGAAAAAATAAACGTAGCATAAGTAGGATCTAGAATCGATCGAGCTACCCACCCACCCGATCCCCACACCTAGTTCCGCTTTCGTTTCCCGCCCAAAATGCTTCAACATCCTGCCACAGATTTCTACGATCTGGCAGCGGCCAATGCGGCTGCTGTCCTCACCGCCCGCCACACACCGCCCTACAGCCCCACAGGTCTAAGTGGCTCCGTGGCGCTCCTCAACAACAACAACAACAACAACAACAGCAGCAGCACTGGGAATAGCAACAACAACAACAATCTGGACATTATGACGCACAATGGAGTGGGTGGCGGAGGAGGTGGACTGCACCTAACTGGCGGCAGCAATGGAGGCGTGACGGGCGGAGGCGCTGCCTCCGGCGGCAGGGAGAATCTGCCCAGCTTCGGCTTCACCCAGGAGCAGGTGGCCTGCGTCTGTGAGGTGAGTTTTGCCTTGAATCTGAGTCTGTGCAACCGTTCTAATCTGTGCAAAAATCCAGGTCCTGCAGCAGGCTGGCAACATCGAGAGACTGGGCCGCTTCCTCTGGTCGCTGCCACAATGTGATAAGCTGCAGCTGAACGAGTCTGTGCTGAAGGCCAAGGCGGTCGTTGCATTCCATCGTGGCCAGTACAAGGAGCTGTATCGCCTGCTCGAGCATCATCACTTTTCGCCCCAAAATCACGCCAAGCTTCAGGCCCTGTGGTTGAAAGGTGAGCCAAGAGTTACTCCAACTCCAACTCCAACTCCCATTCCTCTGTTGTTACTCCTCTGCTTAACCCCAAATCGAAATTCTTTCTCTCCGGTTGTAGCGCATTATGTGGAAGCCGAAAAACTGCGCGGAAGACCCTTGGGTGCTGTTGGCAAATATCGGGTTCGTCGCAAATTTCCATTGCCCCGCACCATCTGGGATGGCGAGGAGACGAGCTACTGTTTTAAGGTGAGTCGAGCGAGTCCTCCTCGACTGCAAGTCCAACAACTTTTCATTTTAATTGTGGCCGTGGAAGTGGCAGTGGCAGTGGCAGTGGCAGGGCAAGGCTCTCCCAGCCCTGACCAAAAAGAAATCGTAGAAATGTCTGCACGCCTGTCTGATTGCATTTGCCGCTGGTATGAGGTATGAGGAGGGTTTGTGGGTTTTCGGTTTTTTATGTGTGTTCCTGCAGGGTGTATCCTGCCCAGTGCAGGCTTTCAATTGATTACAACTGATTTGTGATTTGTTTACATTTAATTATGCTTATTTCTCGCTTCTCTCTTTCTTAGGAGAAATCCCGCTCTGTATTGAGAGACTGGTACTCGCACAATCCATATCCATCTCCGCGCGAGAAACGCGATCTGGCCGAGGCCACCGGACTGACCACCACACAGGTGAGATAATTATTCCCTCTGCGAGCTGTTGATGGCTGCCAAATTTCAATTGCAATTCCTCACAAATGACATGCACATCGCATACCCATCCTCCACTTGTTAATTGCAACTCATTAATCATGCCACAAATATGCATTGAATAATCGAGAATTGTATTTCTAAAAGTGATCTCTCTGCTCTCTCGCCTTTACAGGTTTCCAATTGGTTCAAGAATCGACGACAAAGAGACCGAGCCGCCGAGCATAAAGAGTGAGTTTTGTATGAAATTGTCAAGATATTAGAATGCTCTACCATAGCCATTTAGGATTATATTAGCTGAGCCACAATGTCACAGTGTCTTTGGTATTCCATTAGCTGTTCCAAGTGTTAAATGATTCACTCCGTGGGGTGCTGGCCTTTGAAGTTTCTGTCCTCAAAGATAATTTAGCTGGCGTTGGGTCAGCAGATCTCTATAGGAGGATACAGATATAGAGATATACAGATATTTGCATGTACATCACTTTGTTTATGTTTCATTTTTTGAAATGTTTCGCGGCAAGTGTCAACGCGTGCAGCGAGCACAGAACAAAAGTGTATACAAGATAATATATTAATTTGCATTTAAATATTTCAATTACAAAACCTGGCGACATTTACTACCAAGGTCATTGAGGGGGGTGTGGCCTGTAGCTAATTAGTGCCAAGGACAAGAGCGCCAAAAGTGGCACACGCGCTGGTGGGGGGGGAATCGCTGACAAAGTCATTTACATATTGTTCCAAATTCCAAAATATATTCTCTCGATATATTCACATATTTGTTTTATTTTTATTTAATTTGTGGGATGTGTTTATGTTTGTGTTTCGGGTATGAGCAGAGACAGACGTATGTACCTTCGGCATATGTGTGGCAGGCCTCGTCACTAATTAAAATCCCCAGTCCTTTGCCCGATCCCGTCCTGTCGAAACATCTGCATTTCCGCTTAAGCAAATACTCAAGAAAACTCTTTTTGGACTGGCAGTGGAGAGTGCAAGGGAGTGCCCGGGAGATGCCTGACTGCAGATAGGAAACATTTACATTCTCTCAAATATTAAACATCCTCTCTGCCGACAGCATCCTTTTTGTTTGCACGCTGTCCAGTGCAAGATCCTGCTGCTGCTAGAAGTCATGTGAAGTGCAAACAGTCGATAGAAATTTCGAATGGATTTTTGAAGTGGCCGCGTCTGTCTTTGCTCTCTCTGTCTGTGCTAACTATTGCTATTAACTATTATTAGTTGTAAACTTTCCCCGGGATAGTAGTTTCATTATGCTAAATGGTATATCAGTTACGGAAGGGAACAGCAAGGAGCCCCCCCAGTCAGTGGGAGGGAATCCAGTAGGTGATCGCAGCGAGAAATTGTCGCAATCAAAATTTGTACATAAAATGTATGGAAAACGTAAGACTGAAAAGTGCTGTTAAGGCTGTAAAAAATATTATAAATTGGATGGCAGTGGCAACCGCACTGCACTCCGGCAGCAGCACTCACACACACATACGCGCTGCGCTGCTCTGCTCTGCTCCCTGCGATAGTTCGTCGCTGCGTATCTCCATCGTGTTCGTTGTTGTTGTTTGCTGCTGGCCCTGTTGTTGCTGGTAACTTGATATATGTTTATGGCTGTTTGTTGCCTCGATGAGCAACCAACTCAACTCGCTGTGCTGGGCTGCGCTGCTGCTACTTTAACTTTTTTCCATATTGTTTTTTTTCCCCATCAACATCTTCAGCCTCTTTGTCTCCTCTTCTTTTTTTTTTGCATGTGCACTCGCTCTGCTCTGCCTGTGTGTGTGTGTGTGTGTGTGTGCCATGCAGCTTTGGTGGCAGTCAGCAAACCACAACGGCGCCAAATCTGATTCTAAAGCGGCACTTTGAACAGAGAGCACAACAGACACAAATGGCAAAGTAAAGTGGTTATTGTTTAAATAGGCAGCAGCAGCACCTTGGGAACAGGCAGAGAGACACAGAGAGAGAGAGAGAGAGAGAGAGATAGAAAGAGCGTAGGTAGATGTCCTAGGCAAGGTGAATTTGCTAACAAGCTGACGTTGCCCGCTGTGGGGAGATGAACAACTTATTCCCCACGCACAAACCAGCAAGCGCTAGAAAGGGATAGAGATAAGAGGTGGCCCTGTGGTGAAGATGTCACCGTGAATGTAAATTCTCCTTGGTCCTAGGTGCTTTAAATTTATTCAACTAATGCTCCACACACATAATTTGGTAGGATCGATTCCTTTTCCGTTTCATCATTCAACTGAAGATAAAAAACAGGGCCATGCGCATGTAGTCCAGTGTCGTAGATACTCCTATTATAATCGTCTGATAGCGATCGAGGCACATATGCAGGTACAGCTGGTACTTCTTGTTGGTCACCTCAAAGCTCCACAGGTTGGACATGGCGCCGAGCAGGTCCCAGTTCTGATCAAAGCTCAACCACGAGTGATGCTCGGCCACGTACTGGAAGATGCCAAAGTAGAAGAGGACCACGAGTATCGGGAAAAGAAGCGGCAGCAGGATGACAAAACACAGCAGGCAGCTAAAGGCGAGCTTCAGCAATGTGGGAAAGGGCAGCGGCTCCAGCCAGATACCCTGCAGATCAGACAGCAATGGCTGCATATAGTACACCATGCGACCCATCACTGAGATCTTCTGCCACTGGGGATTGCATGTGGAAATTAAGAGATTGCCCGCAGTCTGGATTGCTCTTCCGTGGGACTTACCACTTTCCGCTTGTGCAGCGGTTTTTTCCAGGCCTTGTGCATGTTTCTACTGTTTTCCACAAGGAATTTGGCAGAACTGTCTTTTGTGTTGATCAATTTTGAAACAATTTTGGGTTTGTTCTTTAACTATTTGGAAATAGTTCGCTGACACTTTTTAAGTTCATAAAAGTTTTGGATTGTTTTTGCTTGTTGCTTCGGTCGAATTATCAACACATAAAAGTCATTCAATTGAATTCTCATTCGTTATGGAAAATCGACAAAGTGGAGTATTTTTTTGGCCAACTCTATGGGCATGTGCAAGTCTTTCATCTCCAAATTGATTGATCCGATCCGCTTCGGCCGTAACTGCAGTTGTTAAGGGAAATTTCAGGCTATGTATTAGCTTTCCTCTCTCCATCCCTTTCCTTCCCTCTGACTACTTTCTGTTCCTTCCAGTTGCTGTCTGGTTCCAGCAGCAGCAGCAGCCAGCGAGCAACCATCATACTTCTTCATACAACAACTACACTACCGATGCGACCCAGTCCGAGTTCCACTTCCAGTCCCAAGTCCCATCCCATTCTCCCCCTTCCTCTGCCCCCATCCCTCAAGCTGTTTGTATATGTTTTTCTCTCCTCCTCGTCGTCGTCGTCGTCGTCATCATCATTTTGCGTTCGTCGAATGCCACGGTTGGCTGGAGGGTAGCTGGGCAGAGTATCAGGTTACCACAAAATGTGCGTGTGTTCTTTATTCGTTCGCCCTGCTCAAACCCCCGGCTCCCTCCACCCCGCGCTGCGTCCCTCTCCTTCCATCTGCTGTCTCCAGCGCGTTATTCATTTTTATTCGTTTTATTGTACATTCTGTTTTATTATTATGTATTTTGCGCTTTTGCCCGTCGTCTGTCCGCTCTTCGCGCTCCTCTCTTCATGCTTTGCTTTTGTGTGTTGTTTTCGTTGCGCTGCTCTTGCGCTCTTGCGCTCTTTCTCTCTGCATCTCCCATCTCTTTCGCTGATGGCGTTGATAATGATGTCGTTGGTGATGATGGACTCAGTCGCGTCCCGTTCCACGGGATTTGACGCATCCCCACACTCCACTCCCCCGCTCTGGTGAGTGTTCGTCAAGTACTCTCGCCTACAATTGGAGATCTTGGGGAAACTCCAACTTGACCTCTCTGCCATTGTCTTGATATGGTTTCCCCCAACCAGCCCATCAAACACTCTAAGCTGCTTAGAGTTTCGCTCGGCCAAGAGTCGTGAGGATTACATAAAAGTTTGGTTAGGCACCGCGGGGGGTCACAAGAGTTACAGCTGTAGCAGAGAGAGAGAGAGAGAGACTCCCTCCGCCGCTGGGGCAGGGCAATTAAAAGGCAACAAAATTATTAAAAAAAACTGTCAAAACAATCCACAGCCAGCATAAAATGCGCCACACGCCACACGGCCAAAAACATGGCATGGAATGGAAAACGTTTCTCGGACAGATAATAAAATATCTTATAACGATGACAGGGGAGAAGAGACCTTGCGATGTGCTGGGGAGACCTCTCTCTGCTCTTCGCTGGCTAATCGTTAAGATCTTACATAGTTGTAGACAATGGCACAATGCTTAGGTAGAGATAGACACTGGCTAGACAAAAATTCCCCCAAACCTCCAAGTCAGCCTCCACTCCTGCATCGCTTTGGGGTCGTCTCTCTCTCTCTCTCTCTCTCCGTGTGTAGTGTCAGAGGGTCGCCACGAGCATTAACAACAGCCACCACACACATGCGTAAATTAAATGATAATTTATGATCAACACCTTTTCAGATTCCACTTATGGATCGGATCGCTGTTCTCCGTTTAGTTGGGTGTCCTGCTGCGCACACGTCCCGAGATTTGTGTACCGATCGCGCAATGCGATAACTCAACCTGTTCTGTTCTCTTCTTTGGCCTTCTCGCCTTCGAACGATCTCTCTCCCGATTCCTAGCGATCTCACGTCGGATCGATCTCCCTGTGCGCCGGGTTAGGGCCACGAAGCAGCGCCTCCTCTGGCTCTCTCTCTCTCTCTCTCTCTGTGGTGTGCTGTCTGTTTGTTTTTTTAGGATTTATTGGCTTATAATTTTTATTAGCAGTGGAATTCCTTGGAAGAGCCCAAGATCCAGCCATCATCTACCCTTAACCCTATGATGGGATGATCTCTCTTTCGTTTGCCTTTTGTGTCTGAGACAGTACTTCTGGGGACTCTTATTAAACATAGACTTCCCATAGTTGTACTACTTCCTGTGGAAACCCTTTAAGAACAACTTTATTCACGTGACAATTTCTCTACTGCTGCCCTGTCCCTGCCCCGTTTCCACTTTAAACATAATCCGATCATGCATTATTACCAAGCTAATGAATCTCCGAGTCCCGTCCCGTCCCCGTCCCAACAGAAATGGCTTAAAACTATACAAAAATCAATTGAGCAAACAAGTTAAAAAATATTAATTCCTCCTCAATGAGCACAGACCCCAAATAAAAAAGAAAAAGAAAAGCTCAAAGAACCTTTTTAAGGTGGAGGGAGAGAAGACCACACACCAAGAACGAGGCCCATAACCTGCTTCTTGATTTTGTTAAAAACTTTATGTGACATTCACTTCTTGTGGCGGGAACTGTCCTTGAGCGTGGCTACACCTCTAGCCCTGAGCATGGAAAAATCGAACTGGAACATTTGTTTTATAAATGCAATCACTGGAAGGTACACGAAGGACAGTCAGCCTGGCAGTCCTACTAAAGCCAGTCCCTACATAGGAGCTGGCGCTCTTCTCTTTCCGCTTCAGTGTTGTCTGTGAGAGTGGCGTGGGGTGGGGGGTCTTGGTAAGTGTTGCAGAGAGAACCGAACAAACAGCGAAACGAGGGAGAGAGAGAGAGAGAGAAGCAGAAACTATGAAATTCTGGTAATTCGATATCATTGTTTATATGCTGCTGCTCCTTCTTCTGCCTGCCAGCCAGCGGCTTCTGCTGTCTTTTGTTTGCTCCCCACTTTGGGCCCCCTCCCCGTCCACGAATATGGTGGCTGTTGGATGGATGATGGCTGGCTGGATGGGGGCGTTTCGTTTGCGTTTTCCCATATTTGCCGAGTTCTATCGATTTTTGTTTAGAGCAGCGCTACTTTAATGTCCACAAAGGGAATTCGCTGGAGAAGAAGTAAGGGGACTCCATCGACACTCCTCCACTCCATTCCATTCCTTGGCTATTGTTCGTCAAATGCCACATGTGTCCGCCGCCGTCGAAGTTCAAGTTCAAAACACAGAACCGAGAGACAATTATGAATTGCCACGCTGTTGGTGGCACTGATCCTGATCCTCCTCTCCTCTGTGGATATAATCTACAATTACATGATTGCCGATATCATACAGCTGGGGACCCAGTGGAGCTCGCGCTGTATGTGGGCCTCCGTCGGAATCTGCAGCCGCCGCGGAGTCAGCAAATACCAAGGCAGAGCAAGGGGCAGGGGCCCATTCCCTGTTCTCCGTCTCTGTCGGTTTGGGGCTGATCGCAAATTTGTCGAGTGTGCGCTTAAATGTTTTGCATTGCCATGGTCGGGGCTGGGTCGCAGGCCTGCGTGTTCCGATACCCTTGGATACAGGACACATATTCGCTGAGTCAGTTGTTTAGTTGTTTAGTTCTGAAGTGGGTTTAATCTGATCTTTGCCTCCACGAATGGCGTAAAGGAAGCTGCTCTAACGTTTCTATTCCCTCAGCACACACTCTCCAACTGCTGCCAGAACGTTCTTCCTTAAGTCTTGGCCTAATTTCGGCCTTAAAGGGTATTCAAAGTTCTCGTTGTGCCTTGTTGCTGTCGCTCATCAATTTGTTGTGCTGCAAACTGGTTTCCGCGGCTGGCTGCTGGCTGCTGGCTGCCTGATTGTGCCTGGCCATGCAATTGGCGACAAGATTAACACTTTGCCATGCCGCTGATGTGATATCCGTTGAAAGGCAATTGCTCGAATTTCAATTATGTTACGCCTCTCTGGATGGGTGGAGGTGTAGGTGTTATGCCATTAACGCATCATTTCAACAATTGTCAGCCCCCAAGGGATGTCATGTCTAAAATTAACCCCAAAGTGCTACCCGATTGGAATGCCATTTACAGAATCAGCCACAAAACAATAATAAGAGTCAAGCTACTTAACTTTTGGGCCACAAGTGCCACAGGCAGGCAGGAGGGGGTGTGTGTGCATCAACATCCCCCAATCGAAAGTGACGTGACGCAGCTCAAATAACTGTAGCTGAAATCAGATGCCACGCAGACGCCGAACGCTCTGGGGAATGCAATAATGATATCTCCCTCTCGCTCTTGCGAGATACTGTCTGGGGCAACACCTCAGGAAAAAGGAACATGAGACCATTTATAGATATGAGAGAGAGAAGGCGAGAGACAACGATTTCCTTCCGGAAACTACTTCCATGTTTTCAATTGCATTTTCTGTGTTTCTGTGTGTGTGTGCCCCGTCATTTGTCATTTGTTTATAAATAAATTATGCACTCCCAATGGGAATGTGTGGGTGTGTTGACAGCTGTAAATTAGTTGCAACAATTGACACATTTTAATGTAAACGATGCTGACATCTCTGGGCATTTATACACACTCGTACATACTCGTTTCCCCGGGTGGTTATACGACGGCCAATGTACCAATTAGAGTAGCACTTGTACCGTACAATGTAGATTCTACAGTGTTATAAACCGGCTAAATATAGCTTCCATGCAAACCAAACCCTCGTGGAGTCGGCAGCTTTACAGTTTTGTAGTAACTGAAGCACTAGTCGTTTCCCAGTGATTTCTCTTCAGTTGCTAATCTATCGATTCGTTTTACTTTCAGCGGCTCCACGGACAAGCAACACTTGGACTCCTCCAGCGATTCGGAGATGGAGGGCAGCATGTTGCCCAGTCAAAGCGCACAACAGCAGCAGCAGCAACAACAACAACAGCAGCAGCAGCAGCAGTCCCCCAACAACAACGGCCTGCATCAACAGCAACTGCAACAGCAGCATGCTGCCGCCGAGCAACAGAGTCTGCAACATCATCCCCACCAGCAACACCATCCCGCCGCCACTGGTGCCACAAGCGTCGCCAGTAAGACCGGTCACAGCGGGGCAGGAGGAGGAGGAGGTGGCGGCTCTACAACAGCAACACAAATGCAAATGCCGCCACTCTCCGCAGCCGTCGCATATTCCCACCTGCATAGTGTGATGGGCGCCATGCCCATGACCGCCATGTACGACATGGGGGAGTATCAGCACTTATGATTCTAGTTGGAGGCGGCTGCTGCCGCCACCAGCGCAAGCGGGAACGGGAAGGCAAACGGAAGCAGCATCAACAATGCCTACGGATGGCACCAACAGCGTCAGCGCCAGCAGGATCTGTCGGAGAGCTTTTACTTCTGATCGATTCTGGAGCGCAGCTGAACGGAACCTTAGCAATATTTAGAGAGAGAAAGAGGAGAGAGCGCATCGTCGTAGCAACAAATTCTATATAACGTTAAACACAGCAACAACACTTTCTGCATAATCTAGCATTTTTCTGCAAACCAATGGAAAGATAGAGATATAGATAAATAGGGGGAGAGGTGAAGGGAGAGGGAGAGGGAGAAAAAAGGCACTACGCTGCAGCACAAGCTTTTGGCATACTACACCCCACCCCAAAACAAAGAAAGAGAGCACATGGAAGAGAGAGATAAGTGTAGAGAATCTTCAAACTGCAACTGCATCGATCTGTGTAAATAGCTAGGCTAGACTTTAGTTTTAGAGCGGTTGGAGGAGGAGGGAGGGAGGTACAACCGAAATGCAAATCAAATCGAAATGTGCAAACAATTATACATATACGACTATTATATACCTATTATTATATATCTGCCTAATGCATAAATTATACACTTTTAATTGTAGCCACTAGTAATCCATATTTTTGTTAACAATAAATTCTATTAAATTATTTTCAAATGATCAAATGAATGTTAAGATCCCACGCCTACCCATACCACTATTAAACCTATGTAAATTACTATAAGTAGTCTGCACCCATTACCCCTGACCGACCAAGACCACAACAATGAGAGCCAGAGCCTGTCTACACTAATCCACGGCGACAGGTAAGCCCGCTAATGCTAATGGCCATGTCTAATGGGCGTCGTCGGCGCGTGCGTTCCTCTCACACGCGACCCATCAGCAGATCCTGCACGTCTCATGTAATGAGTGTGTCTCTGCGCAAAGTTTGAACAGCACTTGGCAACCAGCGCCCGACAGGACTGTCGAGGGGCGGCGCTTGGCAACCGAACAGCGCTGTGGCGGGGTGCGGACGGGCTGTCGGGCTGGGTGTCGCGGTGTCTATGTCTGGCCGTGGGGGTGGATGCTGTCTGACTGGTTGATTTGTTTATTGATACTGTACTTACATATTGCAGACGTCGTCGTCGCTTCCAGTCACTGCCTCCCCCATTCGTCGTCGTCCTTGCCCATGCCACCCCCCTGCTGAACGTTGCCAGGGAGAACGGGACCAGCAGCACACACGTGTCTGGACTACGACTGTCTCTGACTCTGATTGAGATTGATGGTAACATATCTGGTTACAAAATATTTTGACTTCTTTTATCTTGCGGCGGCTTTTTGCCGATAATTTAATTACGGCCTTAATGTGTTTGTTCTTCTTTACGTCTTGTTGAAAATTAAATTAATGACCGCCCACCTGCAGGAAGGATATTTGGTGGCGGCAGTCGGCAATGGGAAACCCTTGAATTTGCACCTTTCATTGAAGATTCTTCTCCGAAAATTGTCATACAAAAGGGATTACTCGATAAACCGAGTTCCGAATGCCATCACAATTTGTACGCTCCTTTAACTGAAAGACAATCTGTGAAATGCCTTAAAGGGGCTTATGTGGGACACAATGCGCATTGATAATGGAGGAGGAACTGGCATGTGTGTCTTGTGTGCCTTGTGTGCCTTTTATCGTGATCCTCTGGAGCTGTCAATGAACTGTCAACAGTTTGTGAGCCGTTGTATTGATGGACTTGTAACCTCATTGACCTATTAGACCTCAGGAATGCACTCGTACATTGTCGAGAGTAAGTGTACATTCATTTACAATGGCCAACAACGTTATTAGGTTGAGCTCACACCATTATTGTTTGCTGGTTCGCCTTTTCGTTATATATTCACTTCGTAAATTACAATTGTATATTTTCGCGGCAAATAATAAGTCCGCAGCGTTATGGGTATCTCAGTTCGACTGCAGCTATCGATAAACTCAGCAACTATCGACCAGCGTTTGGAATCAGTGCTGATGAAAATAACCAACATTTAATATAAAACTGTATTTAGTTTAATAATCCAATTTCCATTTATATTTCAGGACTTTAATCTTAATTTCTAGAAATTTATAAAAGAGCCGAAACTAGCCATAAAATAGCTGAAATCGAAACACTTCTTCGCTCGACTGCACCTATCGATACAGCTACCGATAGCAGCTGGAACAGCTGATCGTAGCGTGCACGTTTTAAATTGAAAGCAGACCATTTGTATTACTATTTAACGAATTTGTACTCGAAATGCAAACAGAAGGCAATGCAAAACGTAAGCGACCGAAGAAGAAAGGCAATCGCTTCATGCGAAACGCCAAGGGCTTTGCCAAGCAGGGAATCTTTGGCCGTGGAACGCACATAGACGATGAGCAGTTTAGCTACTTCATCAACATACTGGACGCCATGAAGGCTGGCTTCGAGGATGTGGAGGAACGCGGTGAGTAAATGGTCGTAATTTACTTTGTCAGTGGCATTACCTATTTATCTACTTTTGCAGTGAACATGGCCAACAATGTGTTTGAGCAGACAAAGGAGCAGGAGATCCACTTGGCCTCCAATCAAATTGTTTCCAAGGCACTGGAATCGCTCATTGGATTCGTGGACAGCGAGCAGCTGGAGCGATACTTCAATACATTTGGGGACAGCCTGCGACCCCTGTGCTCGGACAGATTTGCTTCGCACGTGCTGCAGAAGATGCTGGAAATTGCCTTTTTGCGCGGCCTGGGCAAGGCAGCTGCCCAGGAGGTCAGCGATGCTCCGACCACGGCAAAGAAGGCCAAGCCAGATGCTGCACAAATTGAAGAGGAATACAACTTGGAAACAGAATTCAGCGACGACCATCGAGAGAAGTGTCGCCAGTTCGTGGTGCGCATCTCAAAGTTTATGTTGAACAATTTGGAGGACTTTGTGTGGGACACGTGCGCCAGTCACATCATGAGGACGGCCATACTGTGCCTGGTGGGCATGCACGTTCCCAAAATAGCCTTCGAGAAGGGAGGCGCTGAGATGGCCAAGCATCGTAAGCTGTATACCGTGCCCGAGGACTGGCGTGAGGTGATGAAAGAGTTTCCCCAACGCCTGGAAATGTGGCCACAGTTCGTGGACTTCCCCTACCAGGAGCACTCGTCTGCCCTCTTGGGCGTCATCTGCCTGGCCCTGAGTGTGGCCGACAAGAGTTTGCTCAAACATTTCGGCAAGAAAATTTTGGTGCAGAGTCTGCTGAAGCCCAACGAAGAGACTGAAAATGATGAAGAGAAAAAGGACACAAAAATCGAAATCAAAGACGATGACGAAGAGGAGAAGGAGAAGGAGGCTACCCCGACGGAAGAGAAAGAGCAGAGCGAGGAGAAACCAGCAGAGGATGCTCCAGTGCTGCCGAAAGTCTTTCACCATCAGAGCGCCGTCATCCTGCTGGAGACCATTCTGAGCGTGGCGGGTGCCAAGCTGCTGACCCAACTCTATGCGATGCTGTTCAGCGGCCGTGTCGGCTACCTCGCCAAGCAGCAAGGCACAAACTTTGCCGTGCAGCGACTGCTCCAGCACATAAAAGAAGTGACAGACTTTGAGGCCGTCTTCACAGAGCTTCAGCCGCAAGTGGAGGAGCTGCTCAAAATGGGTTACACTGGCGTGGTATCTGCCCTGAGTGCTGCCTGCCTGCGACTGGGCGCCAAGCAGGCACAGATGATAGCTGTCCTACAGAGTTCGCTGCATGTCAGCGGCGGCGACAAGGAGAAGGCTAAGCTGTTCTTCAATTGCCTCATCAAACTGAAACCCTTCGAGGTGCTGGCCAGCGATGAGTCGGGATTCGTGCATCTCCATGGCTCACTGATTGCGCAGCATGTGCTGCAGTTCAACAAACCAATTTTCCTGGTCAACTGCATCCTCGATCTGCCAGCGGCCCAACTGGCGCAGATCTTCAACACTCCCAACGGCTCCCACATAGTCGATGCCTTCATGCAGAGCAAGTTCATTGGCGAGAAGTCGCGTGAGCGGCTGATCCGTCAGCTGGATGGCTTCTATGTGGACTTGGCCATTACCCGACACGGATCGCGTGTGCTCGAGGAATGCTTCAAGGCCTCACAGGAGGCGCAAAAGCTGCGCATAGCCAAGGAGCTCACCGCGAAGTCAAACATGCTGAAGGGTTCGCCCTTTGGGCGTCTTCTTTACGCAAAGTATCGCCTGGAAACGTTCAACCTCTCGCCCACGCAGTGGCAGGCGAGCCTGGCCAAGCAGCTGGAGCCAGAGCAGCCGGGCACCAAACGGAAGCCAGTCAAGACAGCAGCAGAAGCATTTAAGGATATACTTAGCTAGGACCTTGACTTGTTGACAATTAATAAAATGTAATTCCACACACAGATAATGTCAAGCCGATAAGCGACTGCATCGAACGCTGCCGCGAGCTCAGTTGCGTTGCGTCCGTCAAAGCTGAAGCATGTGGCTGCTGCAGGTGCTGTTCGTTTGCTGTTTGCTGGCCGCATCTTGGGCCACCTTTGGGGATGAGGCCATCTTCGAGGATGAAGACATTTACAATCAAGCTTTGCCGCCAGTGCCACACACGGGCATCACGGCGCCAGCCACCAAATGGTGCGGACCAGGCAACACGGCAGCAAATTTCGATGACTTGGGCAGAGAGCGCGAGACGGACAAGTGCTGTCGAGCACACGACCACTGCGAGGAGATCATAGAGTCACACAGCGCGTTGCATGGATTACCCACCAACACGGATTGGTTTCCCATGTGAGAGACGCCACACTCCCAGTGGAAAATCGATAGCATGTCGTGACTGCTCTTCTCTCTTTGCAGCCTCAAGTGTACCTGCGAGCAAACGTTTATCAACTGCCTGCAGGCAGTCAACAGTCTCACATCCAACACCTTGGGCCGCATCTACTATGGCAGTCGGAAAAAGTGCTTTGCCAATGGTTACCCCACAACTGGGTGCAAACAGTACCAGGAGGGAACGTTCCGCAAGCGCTGTATACGCTACAATGTGGACAAGGCCTCGGCAAAGATCTGGCAATTCTATGACATGCCATTTTACACAATTCAACACACGAATGCCGCCTGACATGACCAACAAACGAATAGTTCCTCTTGTTTCAGATGTTGTTAGCTGATAGATGGGTTCTGGAATTACAGAGTGTAAAAAACGATGGAGAGGTGGAAAGATTAAAAACAAAACAAACTTTTAATGTGAATAGAATTGTAGATGTATTGTAATCGCTGGCTTATCGCTGACCAATGCCAATAGTTCAATCTTCTGTGCCCTCCTCGA